TTCTTAATACCAACTCATTAGTTCTGCATCTCGGGTGTTTGAGTACAAACGCTTAATGTGATCTTTCATAGAAAGGTACCACATCACCAGCTAGGGGGTTTTTCCTTGTTTTCCTCGAATGAGTCAGCCTCTTCTTTTATTAAAAAAAATCAACATCTAGGGTAGTGTTGTTAGTTGATTTCTACCGGCTAGCACTGCATAATGGGCATTTATCCAACGAAGTGTACTCTTTCATGTATAGGATGTAGTGATTCACACACGCATGAATCTTTTCTAGACCAAGAGAAAAGGGATAGATGAATTTTTTCGCTTGACATGTGTTGGAAGGTAATGAGTTAGGCTTTGGTAGCATCATTTTCAATGTAGTAAGTTATTGAAACTACTATCAGACCAACCATATATGGCCTTCAACCTTATAAGTTCAAGCACTGATCATAATGTTGAGAACTCCCTGTCACAACTCTTTGGCTCATCGTACACAAGATCCTTCGTTGCCTTCTGTAAAGCTTCAAAATTGTCTAAACCCCTAGCTGACCCCATTAGCACCTCAGGTTCTACACAATGTAGCATTTCCTCTAACTCAATGATATTATCACCACAACTATCACCATCAGCATCCTCCATGTGTGATTGACATCCAGCCGATCTTCTTTGTCATCAGGATCCACTTGTCGCTCGCCATGATGGATCCATTTCATGTAGCCCTTCAAAAATCCATGTATCAATTATATTTCATGGCCATTTTCTGTCCATATCTCTAAAAATATTGTGTTTACAATTATATTAAAAAAACTAAATTTTCTGAAAAAATTACATATTTATAAACAAACTTAACTTTGCTTACTATGGGAATGAAAAATATAAATAATTAGGGGATGGTGATCTATAAATATAACATAGATATAGTTTTTCTACTATGTGGTGAGTGGGGAAAATACATATTCTCTCTCTCTCTCCTATCTAGATCTAGGTGATTGGGAAGTGGGCAATATTATACATATAATTTTAATAATGAAAGCATCACATTTAACCACAAGGGAATGATAGAACAACATGGCATCAAGGTGTATACATAGATCCATCACAATCATAGCATAGAAAAGCATAAAAGAAAAAAAATTGCACATGGTGCTTTCACTATTTTTCATGCATAGATCCATCACAATTAATACCTACAAAAATAAAAGAAAATCATAAGAGAGGAAATGTATGGATCTAACCACTGAAGAAAAATCCACCGAAAATTTTGAGTTCAAAACCTCCCCCTATATTTTGCTTGTTATTGGAGAGACCAACTTTGTGTGAATTATATAGAGCAGACAGCATAAGGTGCCGTCTACGAAAATATAACTTCACAGGTGTAGCTTTAAGACATCCGCCTAGGATAATACAATATTTGTTCAGGTGGACGGCTTAAGCTGCCTACGAAGATACACCTTATACCGTCCGCCTGAGAAGATGTATCTTAATAGGTGGACAGCCATTTCGCCCCCCACCCCCCCCCCATCCCTCAAATTGCATGTGGATGTATGGTGCAAAAGAAAAAAAAACTCACCTACAAAGTAAAAAGCATATCGTCTACTAAAATCATTTTTCTAGCATTGTTTGATACCTATTAATTTATCCTGGATTTTCTACCAATTAACTTGTTTTAAGTCAAGTAACTTATCGGCCGGCTAGCCCCGTGAGTGTCTGTTTTTGGTGCAGAAACCAAATGCTTTGGTTCTCTAAAGATAATTGTCAAAGGCAGCATTGGTAGCATGTGACGTGATACCTAGACAGGAAACCTCTCTTCATCCATCCCCCTCTCTCTCATCTATTAATTTTAACAGGGGACAAAACCTTGATTATTAAACTAACTACGTACAACACGTAGTTGCAGTGAATGATAGATAGATTATATAGAGAGAGAGGAAAGTGGGGGAGGGAGAGTCAATGTCACATTCTTTGACCGCTCATGTGATCGATCATGCACCAGAGAGAGAGAAGAGATCAGGGAGAGAGCCTTGCATCTTTTGAGGCCGGTGGGCAGAAAAGAATCAACTATGGCAGGCATAGTGGCAAATGGCAATGAGAGAGAGAGAGAGAGTACTTTTATATATTTTTTTACATCCCTGCGTTACAAAATCCGGTCGCCGGTACAGTCGTCGTATGTACGAGTAAATATAAATACTACGCGCATTTTAAATATGAAATTAGTAATTTTAATTTATTTTATAACAATCTAGATAGTAGTAAGAAATGTATATATTAGTTATTAACATCAAATAAAACTAGAGATAAATTTAGTAGACCGTATAGGATATTATAGATGAAATATTAGATTGTTGGTGAAGATTTGTATCGCAAAAAGTGAAAAGTGGAAAAGAATTGATGACAAATCAGGTTTTTGTTTGTACTAATTCGGAGACAAACTAAATGAACCTCACCTCATGCTTTGTTGTAGAATATGTGAATAAAATGTTATGTATTATAAGAGTAATAGATACATATGTTCAAATATTGTGAAAATGGTATGAGAGATGATGATTGGATATGCTTATAATATATAGATTTGTAGGGTTTAATAAAATGTAGATGATGTTACAAATATTTGTATGAGTTTTGATAAATAATGTTACTTGTGGATAATGATGTTGTATGTTTATATATCAAGTTTTAGGTTTGATTGGTTGTAACTATAAATGCTAAAAGAATTATGTTTGTGCGCCAAATTAGTTTACACGAGGCGTTCGAGTCTCCCGGCTGGCGGTGTTGTGGGCTTGTGGCAGTCTCCGGATGATGATCAGTGATGGCCATAGCGTTTTCGTGGGGCTCGATGGTTGTGGGTAATTCGTGGCACGACCGGTTTATGCGGCAACGTCCTAGTAGGAGTGCTTAAATGTCTTTATAGTAAGACTGCTACTTCCTTTGTCCTAAAATATATAGTAATTTTTAGTTGGATGGGACATATATATCCTAGTATTACGAATTTAGACAGTACTAACAAATGTCGTATCCAACCAAAAATTATTATATTTTGGAAAGGAGGGAGTACTACAATTTATACAAATTTGTAATTTTGTGATATTTAATTTGTAACGTAGATGACGACTTAAAAAATCCTCGCATCTTCTAACATGTCATCACCAGTGATGTCTTAAAAGGACCAGTTAGTATTATTTATATCTGTAATGGCTGTGCATATCAATCGTTGTATCTGCTTGTGGTTGTGCCCATATGACGTGGTTACACGGTTGAAGAAACGAGTGTGAGTTCTAAAAAAAAAGAAACGAGTGTGTATCTTTCAATATTTTTGGAAAATATGAAAATTACACTTTCTTTTACTAATGTTATGTTTGGCTAAGGAGCACATCTTTTTCCTTATTCCTAATAAACTGAAAAGTGACTTTCAAATATATTTTAGTTATACTAGAAAAAAATACTGGTGTTTTACAACAGGTGAAGATAACTTTCAAGATCGATAAAAACTCTATCAATTTAAATGACAAACCGGAACAAGACAAACAAAATAATAGCAAAAAAAAGTTAGAAATCATATATAGCATTGATCCCGGTTGTGCTTGCTTCATGTCTCATCACACGAAGAATCTCTTATCTACACCTTTCCATAGCCTCACAAATTGATCGGGTGACTATTTCATAAGTTGGCGCATGCGCATTTGGTTATACCTCATCGATCAAAGATTGAAATTTTAATTATTCAATTAGTAAAAAAATATTTTATATGAAAAACATTTGCAAAATAATAAACTTGTCACATAAACATCTTAAACAATGAGAAAAATATTTATCAAGAAAGAAATTTGAAAGATAAAAAAAGGAAATAGGGAAAAAGGAGGAAATATATGAGATTGGAAGGAGAGAGAGATTATCATAAATATTGGATAAAAAAAGGAAAAAAAATAAGAGAGAAAAAAAATACATCGATCAGGGTAAGTTTGCAGGATGGCGTGGGGCGGTTGGATTGTGCTAGAAGGGAGAGGGGTTGGGCTGGGATAGGTTGTATAATAGTTATATTAAACTCACGTCAAATTGGATACAAACGATATATAACCAACTAAAAATCAACTCAAAACACGCATGATGCACCAAAATTCCGGTGAAAACATTTTAAATTTTTATAATAGTAGAAATATTTGGTATGTTTAAAACTTCGAATTATATGAAAGGTGAACATACATACATATATCAAGTATACCCATTGAATACACTACTCTAGCCTCACTAAATTATCAATGAAAAGTTAGGGGGTGTTTAGATCTAGGGGTGTAAAGTTTTGGCGTGTCACATCGGGTGTTCAACTAATTACAAAATCCGTTAGTAAACCGCGAGACGAATTTATTAAGCCTAATTAATTCGTCATTAGCAAATGTTTACTGTAATACCACATTGTCAAATCATGCAGCAATTAGGCTTAAAAAATTCGTCTCATAAATTAGTCACAATATGTGCAATTAGTTATTTTTAGCCTATATTTAATACTTCGTGCAAGTCTTTAAACGTTCGATATAATAGGGTGTACAAGTTTTACGTGGGAACTAAACATGGCCTTACTAACCATTGACGTCACGATTCTACAAGGACCCGGTAGGTGCCTGTGTAGTTTCAAAAGAAAAAAAATACTCACAAACTTAAAAAAAAAATAAACTGGGATATTTTAGGCCTCTTTTAAAGCGTGTTTTTTTTCTTTTTAACAACGAAATTGCTTCTACCCTCGATGTATCTGACATGTAATTGTTTTTGTCAACAATTAACACGAAATTTCTGCATTTCAGACCCTTGAAGTGGTATGAATGCCATTTTAGTTATTTCGGGTGACATTTACCCAGAACCCACAAATTATAAAATACCCGATCGATTGAAGTGTAAAAAGTTCCAAGATTGAAGTGTAAAAAACAAAAACAAATCCCTCGAGCCAAAGTTGTCACAATTCACTTTTGCCTCGTCTCCACCTAGCCCCTATATATTCCTCCCAATAATAAATCCAACGACAGACTGTACGGCTATACTAGTATTCTACTCGCAAGTCGCAAGCCTCATTCAACATCTCTCTCTCTCTCTCTCTCTCTCTGAACGATGGTTGGTGTGCTTGCTGCTGCTGAGCACTGATGCAGCCTTTTCTTATGGGCATTTAATACCTGAGTTATTACTGCAAGGGAGGGAGGGATCAAATGCAGGCAGTTCAATAGAAAAAGAAAAAAAAAGAAACAACCTGAGCACCAGAGTTCTTGGCTGCTCCAAGTTCGCATTGTGATCCACGGAGCCGGAGAAGGGGGCAAAACAAAACCTTATGGTTTCTTGATTCATTTCTGCTTTGGTGATTGATTCTTGGTTCCGTTTCTTGGGCCCCGATTTGGGAGGGGTTCTTGGCGATGAGGAGGCATGGGTGGCAGCTACCTTACCACCCTCTTCAGGTCCAGTTCTTGTTTATTTCTTTTGGTGTTTTCGTTTGGTATCTTTTTCTGGTGTATACTTGTTTTTGTTGCTGATTGGTATGTGCATATGCAGGTGGTGGCGATAGCGGTTTTTCTGGCACTGGGTTTTGCGTTCTATGTGTTCTTTGTGCCATTTGTGGGGAGGAGTGAGCTCCAGTATGTGCTCATGGGTCTCTACACTCCACTGGTGAGTAGCTGAAACAACTTTGCCCTCTTTAATGTGTTTCTAACCTGTTGTGTTAATTCTTCATGGCAGATAGATCTGCATCTCCTTTCAGTTTGGGGTGACTTCTTTTGCACTACTCCCTTCTGTGTTTTGGTCGGTATAATATGTGGAGAATGTTTAGGAGAAATACTACATTATGTAAGGTCCATGACATAGAGACAGGGATAAACTGCAGAGTAGTTTGTGCTTCGGAGTAGTTTAGGCTAATATAGGTCAGTTTTTTATAAATCAAGACTGACGACATGCCATGGTGAAAATCTTTGATGCCACTAATATGCCTATGCTTCTGCCAAAGCTATTTTAGAAGACAGAGTAATTACCTTTTTTTCTTCTCTGAAGCATTCAATCCTTACGATGTGATGAGGACCAAGGATTCGAATCCTTTATATGATGTAATCGGATGGGTAGAACTAATAGAGAGAAGACATTCAACACTGGAAGGATTGGATAAATCCACTGAATCGTAACAGGGGTAAATAGCTTAATTAAAAATTACGATACAGTCCATTTGCCTTGCTCTTGATATATAAAAATTCCATGAAATCATCAACGATGTAGCTTTCACTTTGATCAAATGACTATGCATCAAAACATAAATTTTATATCTTCAACCAACATGATTTTCATTGCAATTCGTAACTGTATACTTAAGAGTAACTGCACATTGATATAACAGCACATCGATGTGCTCTTGTATTGTCAACAAAATGATGAATGACAGATAAGTTTTTCTTGCAGATTACTTGTGTTGTCACATTATACATATGGTGTGCAGCAACTAATCCTGGTGATCCAGGCATTTTTAAAGCAAAGAAACATCCAAAATTAGGCAAGGATGGAAAGCAAATACAAGAAATTTCAGAGCACGAATCATGCCAGGGAGGAAAGTCGTTCAGCGATGGCTGTAGCATTGTTAATAACAGTGAGAGATTAAGCAATATGTTTGAAGGGAATGATTCATCTTCTCGGCCTGGGTTACATGGAGTTCTTTGCTTGATATGCAACCCATTCTTCTGCTTATGGAAAAGATTCTTTCACTCAGATGACCAATCTTCGGAACAGCACATGAGCGAAGAAGGCATGTTCTTTTGCAGCTTATGTGAAGTAGAGGTATGTTACAAGCTGATGTCTGCTTATGCTGAACTTTACATCTACTTTTTGAAAAAACTGGAGAATCTCTTTAAACTATAACCCATTGAGTTAAAAATGAGGATTAAAATTCTCCTCTTAAAATACTCAGTTATGCAGTGACCTGCCATGTAATTTTAGATATGAGACCATTGTCTAGTATGTTAAGTTGTTAACATCAGAAACACAGGAGCTATAATTTACAAACACTTGCAATCTGGCTTATTATACATATATTCAGGGAAAACACATTTTCTTCTTAATAAAATCTAAAAGTGCTGTAATACTGCAGAAAAAATTATGTGAATATGTTCAAAAATCACATGCCTCAACAAAAGGATGATACCTTCTAATGCATCAAAATGTTCTTATCTGGACAGTTTTACTTTATCTGTTTAAAAATGTATGACTACTGTGTAGGTGTTGCAGCATAGTAAGCATTGTAGAGTTTGCGACAAGTGTGTTGATGGTTTTGATCACCACTGCAGGGTAATTTTCTCTCTTTTTCTCTTAATGTTTTTTTTTGGAAATTATGTTTTTCTTTAAGAAATATTATTCTTAGCATACCTTCTGCTTTGATTTGTCCACAGTGGCTCAATAATTGCATAGGAAAAAGAAACTACAAAAGATTCTTCATTCTAATGGCTTCAGCTGTTCTCTTGGTAAGTAAAAACCTCCACTACAACCTTTGATGAGCATCTAAAATTTAAGAATTATTCAATTTACAGTATCCTAAAAAGAAACTCTGTTATTTTTGTATTATTCCTCGTGCCTTTAAATTTATCACTCAAGAATCAATAAATAAAAACTGCAATCCTGTAGGCTTTACATCTAGAAAGTGCTGCTATTCCATATCCACTTTTTCTGGTTGACCATTGACAGCTCTCCATGATTGTGCACATTCAGCTTATAATGCAGTGGTTAGTGGGCATTCTTGTGCTGATACTCTGTTTACTGAAGCGAGGGGAGTTCTCCGGACAGATCATCTCAAAGTTAGGAAGTAGCTTCTCAACAGCTGCTTTTGTAATTGTTGTGGTTAGTTCTCTGGAATTTGCAGCTATTTGAGAAAAAAAAATTCTCATATAATGTTTTAAATAGCTTTTGTTTCCTGAGTTGCAGTATCAAAATACTCAGAATTTATGAAAAAGACCATAAGTATTAAGACTTGAACAGTATGAACCCTGTAAATGTGCATTTTATTTTGGTGTGAGAACCTAACGGATACATTTTGGTCAACACTGTTTTGATTGGATGTTTCGAACTAGAACTTAAACTCTCGGTAAAAAATTAAAAGGATAATTGGTTATGTGAGATGATGGAAAAGATGTTGTCTAATGTCATATTAACCGTGTGCTATATAATGGACAGTCTGGCATAGTTGCTGGTTTGGAAATTTGAATTTTGCTTTACTAGTTTACAACATTAAAGTGTGAATGGGAAGCTATATTTAGCGTAGAATTACTGTTGCTTATAAAGCACTATTGAGAATCCATCCTATTTCTTTCTAACACAAATTACTTTTGCAGATGACATGTACTTTACTAGCAATGCTTGCAACAATACCCCTTGCCCAACTTTTCTGCTTCCATGTTCTGCTTATTAAGAAAGTAAGCAATAGCTTTACCTGCAGATGATATGTACCAAGATCAGTTTTAACACAGCATAGATAGAAGTGTTATTAATGATTGTTGCCCTGTTTTCTTAACATACTAATTCATATTGGTTGCAACGACACTCAATTTTCCTCTTTTCGCTCTTATCTGAAAAGATCATAACTGTAACAAATTAAAGTGACACTCATTTTTCTGTCTACTCTGCAGTGTGCAATAGTTTTAATAAACTTAAGTGAGTTTCTTCCTCCTGTTAAGTAATAACAGTTCACTATTTTGACAAGTCTGTTCAGATATCAGTCAGACTCATAGTTACACATTGGCCCCTACAGACTGACATCAAATTGTAAAATGTGAATTGTTAAAAACATCAAGGCAAGTACAGAGATTCTTAGGAACGACAAACACATAATTTAATGTGGAAAACCCTTGCTGGAAGAAGGAAACACTGGCGCAAAACTTTTGATGATCGCTAACTACAGTGCAGGGAATTTGCAAAGAGTCGTTTACTTATTCTAGAGCTAAGTAGATGACAAATGCAGGAATATGGCCTGTACAGCAAAGCAATCCTTCACTGTCAATAGAACTCTTATGAAATTAAGATAATATTTATACTAAACCTTGATACAACAAGTTATATGTTGGAAAGGAAGGACAATAGCTCTCTCTTTCTTGAAGTTAATTCTTGGAAATAATATTATATAACGTGTTGAACATGCTTAGTCTTATGTTATTACCGAATTATGTTTATAGTCTTTTTCTGGAAGAGATAATATGCTTAGCTTTTCAAGCTATCTCTTATGGTAAAGTTGATTTACGTATTCTACTTTCTATCCACGTGTATGCAGGGCATAAGTACGTATGATTATATTGTAGCTTTGAGAGAACAAGAAGAGCAGCAAGAGGTTACTGAGCATCAAAGCCCGCAGATGTCTATTATTAGCTCTGTGACAGGGTTTAGCACAACTAGCTCATTTGCTCCTCTTCAACGTGGGTCATGGTGTACTCCGCCACGTTTATTCCTTGAAGATCAGGTATACAGAATATCAGATCATGCACATTTTCTGATTGTTGTGGGAAAAAGAAGAAAGTTTGTGTTTGAGATATTTGTCAGCTACTACTTAAAAAAAATGGATGTCTGAAATTTAGTTGTAGAATAGTTAGAAATAGCTCACTTCTAGAGTTTGGTTTGTATTATCTTTTAGAACTTTTCTTGTGTAGCTACTGTTCTACACTTGATTGTACTCATTTGTAGTGGCTAGCATGCTCTGAAGTCTGAATTCAGGTGTCAGGATGACCATGTTTCATAGATTTTTTTTTCTGGGTTATTTTTGGCACTTATTGTTATGCTGTTTCTGCAGCATGTCATTCCCCCAGAAATGCCACAGAACTCCTCAAGCAAGAAGGCAAAGCATGCTGATGTAACCAAACGAAAACCATCAGGACCTGTGAAAATCAGTCCCTGGACACTAGCTCGCCTTAACGCGGAGGAAGTTTCGAAGGCAGCTGCAGAGGCGAAAAAGAAGTCCAAAGTTCTTCAGCCAATCGCGAGACATGAAGATCCTAAACATGACAAGAGGCGACCCGACAAGAGAGGGCAGTTTCTACCTGAACTTTCCGTCGATCACACTACGAGGACATCTGATAGCTGCACCGACAGCAACTGCAGCGACATGGACATGGAAACATGTGGCAGTTTAGCCCCATTGCAACATGAAGCGAGGAGCGTTTTCCAACCAAGCATCGCATCGTCGATCAGAAACCTCACCTCATCACCTCAGAGCAGCCTGGACTCACCTGATCTTCACCCATTCCGTGTTTCAATGTCAGGAGCAGACGAACTCCGCAGTTTCATGTCACTCGCAGCATCAGAATCCACTGCTCCAAAAAGCATTGCACTTTCAAGGTCGACGAGTGGTGGGTACGAGGCCTCGGGAGGCGAGGAAAGTGATCGCATCCCGTCAAAGATCGTGCACCGGTCGTCCAATTGGGCCAATGCCATCCTCAATTCCGGTAGGCGAGAAATGGCAGCCGATCTGAACTTGCCAACATCTGAAAGATTTCTTACAAACACCAGGTTTAGCTAGCTAGTCATTTGCTGTGCTGCTAGTTGTGAATGGGCTGTAGGATTTACTGACCTGTTACTGGTTAGAAGTAGTAGTGTTGTTGCAATTGTGACCAATATCTGTTCCAGCCAAGACAATTGCCTCATATTGGGTTTAGCTGCTGTACTGCTCTAATTTGCTCTCTTGCACTCAGTTTTGTACTCTCCGTGCTCAACCTGCATGGTTGACCATGGGATACATTTGACGGATGGCATTCTTTCAACAGTTTGTTTTGCTAGAGCCCCTTTTTCATATGCAAAATTTAGACACCCATATGCTATAGATCTTTTACCCGTATCTAAGTTGAATTTTATAAGCTTTTCATTTTCATAAATTAAGCCGGGAGAGGAGAAAACTCAGGTAATCACAACGAGGAAACTACAAGCCTGATAGAACAGAATATTAATCTCATCGTTTGGTATTGTACATTTGTACTGATTTGAATTATATCCGTTATTAATTCACTTTAATAACTGTTTCCCATTATTTGAACTAATCAATCGTTAATTCACTTTAACAACTGTTGTGAATTTCATTCTCCGTTCCTATGAATGCAAACAAGCTAGTCATAAAAGGTTAGTCCAGTGGATTAAAGACATTTTGAATGTCAGGAAAAAAGGTTTCATAGACATCTTGAGCAGATGGGTTAGCTAGTTCATGGATCACAGTAGTTCACAATAGTCATTTCAGCAAGTTCCGGTTCCAGCAATTTCTGGCACAAAAATGTGTGCCCATAGCAAGATTTTCTATATCAGAGGCCATTTGCTGGAACTATATTACAGAAGCACAACGAGCATGCAGTTTCTGCTTCAACAAGGCGGTTCTAAACATGAATTTTCCTAGAATCTGGCTTACTAAAGAGAGTATTGTGTCATTAAAAGCCAAGGGGAGGCAAAATCAATTTACAAAAAAAAAAAGACCCTGATTCATGTGCATTTGTAAAGATTTGGTGATTGAAAAGGTAGAGAAGGGCAGAAATGTGGAAGGCGCGTTACAAAACCAATTGAGGTTGCCATGTAAACCTCGAATTGCTGTGTCACTACTTGGGGTAAGACCTACACTGGAACTCTTTTTCCTCGATAGCTTCCAAGGTACTGCAAATAAAATATTTTTTTCAGTTAGCACATGCAGTAATCAGTGTCCATATAGAGAATATTTTTCTGTTGGGAAAATCTGTACCGATGCAACAAATGGCTGCTGAAATATCCAACCAATGAAAGGAATCTTTTGCAAGAAAACCACAAGAGTTGGCCAGAATCCACTGCAATTTCAGTGTCACATACAAGACAAATGTTAAACCTGACAATTGTCAAGCATGCACTGTGCAGAAATCTTTTCAAATATAAGACATTCTTTATTATCTCAGCATTAAATAGTGGAAAAGAAGGATTGGTCAATGGACAAGCAATGAGAAACAAACCTGAAAAGTACAATAAAACCATATGCCTCTAATAGCATGCCAAAAAAGGGCCATCCAATTAGAACAAGCAAAAGGCCAGCACCAAATGAGATAGTACCCTGCCAGTTACAGTTAGTTGATTAAATAACATATAGTCCATGGGCAAAAGCTCTGATAAGCTACAGTAAATTTACAAACCTTATAGTTCTTGGGCTTAGTGAAGAATTGCAGAGTCGATTTCAATCCAATAGTCAAACCTAAGCCTGACAGGAAGAGAATCTGAAATGTTCCACATGCATACACATTTCATTGGCTTAGATCTTCAAAAAATTCAGCAAAAGTTTCAAGCAAGCTTACATTGCCCATTGCAAGTAGCCCCTTGTCAAAGAAGAAAATGATCCCCAGAAATGAGAAGAATACTCCAAAGCCTGTCAGCCCTATCCCAATCTCTGCAAGATGAGATTCACAAATTACCAATTGAAGTGGGTATGGGTATAACGATGATGTGGCATAGCAAGAAAGCATAAAAGAAAATCCAACCAATGGAATAATACCTTGTGGGGATGGGAAATGTGATCCCATCCAGGATAAACAGTGCTCTATGCCCTGAAGAGCATAGTTCCAAGCATGAGATGAAAAAAATTGAAAAAATGTAGCAGGGTGCATAATGCATTTGTTATCGCAAAAATAGAAAAATGCTCCAGAATAGCTACAGGGGGATGAGCAACGAAGTGCCAATTGCCAATGGCATGAGGTAGGCAATCAATTAAATTCAACTCAAGATCGTGCCAGGAAAGTATAGATTTTCAGGGAAAAAAAATACTGACGAAAATATTTGACAGAAAAAATGTATTCCTTCATGAAAAATTGATTGCCACAAGTAATACATTGTAACATACTAGCATCCTAGCTTCCAAAATCTGCTCTATGCCTAACTCTATTGGAGTGGTATATGATGCATAATTGCATATAACACACTGCTTAAACGTTGAGAAAATTCCTAGTGTACTCCTAAAACTTTGCCCAATCCCTTCCATGCCCCTGAATTTTTCTCATTTCCTTGTATACCCCCGAATTTTAGTTTGGATCCCTTCCATACCCTTTCTGTTAGTTGACAGTTAGTTAACCGTTAAATTCTTATGAAAAAGTCCATTTTGCCCTATGGTATGAAAAACATATATATTAATGGAGTATTAGAAAATTGTTGTATGAGACTTTTATATTTATGAGTTTCTAATGCAAGATATTATTTATGACAGTTTATTTTTAGATATGACATAAAAATTAATATTTATTTTTTAATAATTAAACATTGTATGTGTAGCTTATTTTGTAGATAGTATTGTACAACATATTTGTTGTATAAGACAAATCTATTTATACATAAATATTTTTTAATAAATAATAAATTAATATTAATTTTTTGTTTCATATCTATAAATAAATTTTATGATTAATAATATCTCGCATAACAAACTCATTGAGATAATAGTCTCATATAGCAAATTTCTACCCTTGAACAATATACTCCATAATTTTATATGTTTGTTCATACCAAAGGGCAAAATGGACTACTTGATAGGAATTTAACGATCAACTCACGGTCAACTAACAAAAAGGGTATGGAAGGGATCCAAACTAAAATTTAGAGGTATACAAGGGAATGAGCAAAATTTTGGGGCATGGACAGGATTAGAGAAAGTTTCAGGGGTACACAGGGAATTTTCTCTTAAAGTTTCTTCCCCATTCTGCTTAATCTTGTAGTGGTGCCACATTTGGACACTGGCTACAACCTCTATGAGATTAATCCCATTACACTACCCAAGGTCCTTACAAGCCACGACTAATACAGAACAATATAGAACAAGGTTCTGTATCTAATGATTGCAAGTATGCAACTCTTCAACTAGATCATGTCAACTAAGGCTGCGGTCGATGTAGCATCTGGATGGAGCTTTTCCCTTGTTTTCCGTTAGCACGTTTCCCAAATTGTCTGTTAAATGTTGTGTTTCGTGCAAAAAGTTTCTAAGTACAAGTTTCTTTTAAAAACCAAATAAATCCATTTTCAAGTTCGTAATAGTTAATATAATGGCTCGTCTCATTTTGCGTGCCAGTGACAATCTTTATCCAATAGCACATTCGAACAGGTCCTAAATATAACTACAGCTCACATATACTTTTTTATTGTTCATAATAGTACAGACATTTGTTGTGCACAGCTCTGGCTACACAGCAAGCAAGAGCGGTGACAAGCAGCATGATCAAGTTACCAACAGTAGTGTTTGACTGCATTAGTAGAAAATCTAGCAGGAAAACACAAACACAGCAAGTGTGAGCATGCAAGGTTTTGTCACAACCGTGCAAAGGCTAGGAATGGGCCTGGTAGGGCATTGAAAGACTAGGAATCTCAACCGTCGAAAGAAAATTACTGGCTGTGATGAAGGAACGGCAAAAGTGTGCCTTTATACTTAGATAGCCACAACAGCAAAGGATTTGCTTCTCTGCTGCGGTATAACGTATTCCTAAATTCTAACATAACAAGAAGCAGAGTAACAACTTAAATGGCAAGCAGAGCATATTGTACAGTATGCAAGAGAAGGTTGTCAATTCTGGGATCGTCAAAAGCCAAATAAACACAAAGCATATGCAAGAAAGGACAACTTTTACAAAATTACTGTGAACTTCAAAAGTTCAAACATCTTTAAACATGGTCAAGGTTACTACCATAATTAGAGAAATATAATTTCTGCAACCATTGAAAGGTTCAACCTCAATGAAAGGAAAATGATGCATAGAACAATATATTGCTATTTTAGTGTTCAATGGAAATTTCAGATGATGGAAACAGGGATAGATGATGTTCATACTTTGAAGGTCATTCATCTCAAAGGAAACCATCTTGCTGACAAGGACAACTTCTGTTAGGAAGATATGAAAAGCCTGAAATACAGAACATCACCTGCATTAGATGCAAACCAGCAAACCAAATCTAATAGTTCAAACAAAAATCGGAAGAGCAATAAACCATTACAAATGCATTAGAAATACCGGACTACCGGTTAGCATTGTTTTAGTGTTTTAGAAGAAAAAAAAGTCCAGTTCAACTCAATATTCATTAATAACATGTAAAAGGGCAGAAGTTAATGTAAAACCCTCCGGTTTCTGATGCACCTATTGCATTAGAACTCAATGCAGCCTAGTGAGGAACTTTGATATCAACAAGCAACACCAAAAAAAGAAAAACTCTAAGAACTGGAAATTATATAGGGACGCAAACTCTGTACAATTTTGTAATTCTAAATCAGATTGAAGGTAATTAAACATGCGGTACAAAAATATGTGCTAATGTTGTATAACTCATGCTGCCATGCTCTCACAACAATCTCTCTTAAATTGGCATACTGGTGCTTCTAATCAGCACATACTGGTGTTTCTAATTAGCAAATGCCAGCTAAGAATATCAAACACAATACCGACACATCACACATACCTACTCGTGCGTGCATTCTAACAGGATTACAGGCGAGCTGATTTACAGTGTCCAAGGTTGTAGGATTCTACAGAGTTCGTTTCACCAACAACACACCAGAGCACTAATCCAAAACCTAACTGGAAAAGGACGCTCCAATCATATCCAAAAAAAAAAAAAAACGCTCTTGCCCCCCATTGCACAAACTTACCTCAATCAGAATCCAGCAGCGACTATATCGAGTGGTCTACACATCTCAGTGTGGATTCAAAAGCATATAAATCCCAAAAGTTCTTGCACACAAGAAAAGAAACTCACCCCCAAGATTCGCGGAGCCGCAACCCCTAGTGTGAAATGGAGACCCCGCCACACGCAGACACGGGCAGCACACACGAACAGGGAGAGAAGAGGCAGGTGGAGTACCTAGTCAGATTCGGAGGCCTCGCCGTCGTCCGCCGCGGCGGCGAGGGATCCGATCCTTGTTGGCCCTTGACTGTATATCTCTGGGTTTGCTCTCTTCGGCTTAAACGGGCGCCGATCTGGTGAGTCCACTTTTACACAAAGGTCCTTGAAAGGCTAGAGACTTGAGAGTGCCCTTTTTTTTCTTGCAACGAAAAGATTTGAGTAAATTAGAGATTTTGGGTGTGAGATATTGAGGTACGTAAATTAGAGATGAGACATTAACTTATAATTAATTAAGTTGTAATTATTTTAAATTTAAAAAATAGATTAATATGTTTTAAAGTAATCGTTTATAGATTTTTTTTAAAAAAAGTGCCATTTGCTGTTTAGTAAGCGTGCGCGTGGAAAACGAATAACTTTTCTCTTTATTGTGTTTGTTTCTTGAAACAAACGCAACCTAAAACTTTGTTTGCTTAGATTATTGAACAGATTATTACTATGAAACATTATGAGGCAAATTAAATATTTAATAAATAAACTTTACAAATAGATTAAAGCAAGTGGTATAAGTAGCAGTAAAATAATATTTTTGAGAAAATATATTTTTAAAAAACATGAAGCAAATAGTCCATTTCAATAATCTGATGGTATTATTAAATAGAACTGGCATCAAATTTATTGTAAAAAATAAAGATAAGTGAGAGTATCACAAATTATGAATTTGGTAAGGAAGTTATCACAAACATATCCCTAGCTCCTTTGAAACACAAGTTTAAAAATTGGAGGAATAGAAAAACATAGGATTTTTCTATAAAAATAAATACACATAAAATACATGAACTATTGTTTGAGTAGACTGAAGGAAAAAAAAAAAGAAGGAATCAGGTGAGAGATAGTCTAATGAAATTAGTTGGAGTTTCGGTTAACTTTCCTCCAAAATCCAGTCCATTCCATAGGATTCAATCCTTTATTTAGAAGTCTTCGTAGAAAATTTTTCTCCAAATCAAAGAGGTTTGCATTAGTTTGTGAAATATGTAGGCTTGTAATATACCGCTGTTTGGCACAGCTCTAAATCCAGGATTTCTTGGAGCTAGGTATCTCTAGCTTAATAAATCCACAAATCTAGATATGTGATAATATTGATAATATTTAAATGAATCATTTTGTTCTTACTTAAGAAAAAAAATCAAAATCTTTAATTTAACTTATAAAGTCTAAATCTAGTGTAAATATGAGATCAGGAGTTATGCCAAACGGGACCTACATTTAGTGTTAAATATGTAGTTTTTGTAATATATTTGTTTTAAATGTCTGGTTTTATTATAATTCTATTAAAATATATGTATATTTTCTTAAAATATCTTATAAATTCATACTCTTGAGCAAATACTTTTTTAAAACATAGTGGCATATTTTAATAATATATTTGAGGTTCAAATACTTTTTAAAACATTTTCAATACTGTTGATTTTTCCAATTTTTCTCGCTGCCAACTTGGGTGACATGATAATGAGATAGCAAACTTCATAATACAAATATAGTAGAAAAAATTATTCTTCACATAAAACTTCAAATGCCACTTTTATCTTGGGTTTTATAAATTTGTCAAGAAAGGACAGCTTCTTAAAATATTTACAAACATTTTTTTCTTACGTGGCATGGCACATAGGCGTGTCGGCATGGCATCCTTTGTGAGGCTCATCCGTCAGGTCATGTTCCTCCTCTAGCCAAGTGAAGGGAGGGAGGGAAGCCGGTGGGTGCTCAATGGAGGGTGCAAAAGGAGGCCCTTTCCTGACAATAGATCCAACCAAATAGCCGATGGGAAGAGTTGGGTGAGGGAGAGAGGGCAACCTCAAGCGGAGTGGCCACTGTCAGCATGACCTCAAGCATCTTTTGTCGATGGACATCCATCTCCACAAGCTGTTGCCACTACATCTACTATCAATCGACCAATTCCAATCTCATCGTTACAGGATCTATGGGTTCTTCCTTATCGCTGATCTGCTCTGACTGACCCCATCATCGCTGTTGGCTGGTGTTGAAACTAGGAGAGAGAGAAAGAGGAGAGGGCTCTTCCTAGTCATCGACCAATCTTCTCTCGGATGTCTCTTATTTGCCATTGACTGGTGGTGGTGCAGCAAGGATGAAGAGTCATAAGACGCTCCGCCTCCATCTTTCGACATCCCCACCTCCCAAGTCACCTTAGGTCAAGGTGTACGTGCCACTGTCGCCAATGACAACCAACCATCCGTGTGTACAGCCCTACGTATACTCGCCTTTGAACTCAGCTCGAGGAAGAAGGCGTCTTGATGGGTAGCCACGCTCTTGTGGGCTTTGTGGCATTAGTCAAGTCAACTAGTCACATGACAAAAGGATCTACTCATGTGTAGTGTAGCCCATCATTTTATCCGTATGACCGTTTCTCTCCAAAACGTGTGTAAAAGACTCCTTGCAGCCGACGCAGCGCATCAAACTGCTTTACTACTCTGCTCCCCGACACCAACACATGGCCACGAGCTCCCCCGCGCCGGCTCGGCCTCGCCGCCACCTCCCTTCTCCTTCGCCGTCTGGCCTCCCACGCGCCGCACGCGCGACGCCGTGGTGCGCCGCCTCGTCGCCGTCCTCTCCGGCGACACCACCACCGCCCTCCGCAAGCGCTACCGCTACGGCGCCGTCCCCGCCGCCGACGCCGAGCGCGCCGCGCGCGCCGTCGAGGCCCAGGCCTTCGACGCCGCCTCCGCCTCGTCATCCTCCTCGTCCTCCGTGGAGGACGGCATCGAGACGCTGCAGCTCTACTCCAGGGAGGTGAGCAACCGCCTCCTCGCGTTCGTCAGGTCCCGCTCCTCCGCCGCAGGCGCGCCCCCGGCCTCCGCGGCGGCCGGAGAGGTGGCCTGAGCTGCTCGCTCGGCCGCCGCTCCGTCCATAGATGTGTTTGATTGATGCATTTTTGTTGATGTTGTTTGGGATTATCTCAGAGGCTTATTCTCTGGTGTGTAGTAATTTGCTGGATTTCTACCTGATGTTCCACTTGAGTTGTGCAAGTAAATGCTTCCAATTTGTGATTCTGTAGAAGGTAAAATTGGTTCCAATTTGTCTGCAATTTGGTGATGACTCAGGGACCTTGTAGGAACAAATTGTTACTATTATTGGGATTTGTTAAGAAAAATACATACATCTGAGCTTGGCAACAGAGTAATTTCTTGTTGGCATGAGCTCTTGTGTGTGTGAAGATTGATTATGTATGTCACCTACTAAGGATGCATTGAAGTTCATGTTTCTTATCACCTTTACAGTATCATCAAGGAACAAATGGCACAATAATTTTCCCTCTCTTTGTATCCATGTATAAATGTGGTTGGTTGCCAACCTGGCAGAGTTATATGCGTCTCTCCCTTGTTCACATGTTCTGTCTGTTTTACCAATTATGTGTTTTTCCGATTCCATCCTCCATGCTTTTTGGTATAATGGACAATGGATAATATTGTTTGGCGATTAGGTTTTACATGATAAAGAACTGCCAGTTAAATAGTAGCACACTCTTATGAAAAAATATGATTGATAGTGTAATGACTGGTTGGTGCCAGATGTTCATGTTGGTTGTTGTTATCGTCGTCAGTTGCATCGCATTTGCCGCATACAGTATGGTGCAATGTATTTTATTCTGTATCCAACCTGGCTCAGGTGTATGAGTATGACATATGTTGAAATCTATATGATTGATAAGTTAGTTTATTTAGTTATTAAGATTGGGACATCAGACCTAACGCAACAGCCTCACTTGTTGCAATCAAGAAAAAACGAAATAAGGTTTTATTTCTGAAACAACAAATTGGGGCTTTCCTTGACGGTACTGCCAGTTGTTGGGTTTATACTGATATAGAAGTTATCAGTACTCTTTGGGGGTTTTTGTCAAAATTCTTTTTGCATCTATGTTAGCAAGCATGTCCAACTGAGAAATTTTGGCCTATCTTAAGCTACAACATGAGAATTTCTTGAAAAAGAAAAGGTGGCAGGAGGGCGGAGGCGAGGAGGTTTTAGTGGGGCCAGTGTCATCATAGCGTTGGAGGCGAGATGCAAGGCGTGGATCCTGTAGAAATCCAGGACCTCATGGAAGAAGCTGGAGAAGGGTGGAATCAACCCCGCCATGGCGAAGGACAGGAGGTGCACGGACCGATCCGGGTACCGCGGCCTTGGCCGCGACTCCCCCGCCCTCACGACGGCGCCCTCCGGCATGAACTTGTGGACGAGACTCAAGTGTCTATCCATCGTGATGCGCGAGGCCAGGAGAACGGCGTCGCCGGCGTCTTGAGTCATGGCGGTGGGTGAGTGCGAGCGGGAAGATTGGGTGCGCGAGGTGCAGTAATCCGAAAGAGGAACGTTGGGGGCTGAGGAGCGTGTGTGCGAGAGTAAGAATGGCGAGAGGAAGGAGACGAACTCTCCTCCCTCCTCCCTTTTTATTCTCGCCTCGCTAGCGCCCGCCTCCTCGTTCCCCGCAACCGCAGCCGCCTCCTCGTCTTTCGCACCCTCTCGAACCACTCGCCCCACTAAATCCACGCCCCGTGTTGAACGCATCTGTCAGCAGCATAATTGACGCGGGACGTGCAATGATTACGGTCATGGCCGGTCGGGCCCACCGATAATCCCATTTTTCGCACACGCCTCACAATCAGGCAGTTGATGCAACGGCCAGTAATGATACCGGGCGCGGTTTGACAGACCCCCCCCCCAGTCTTTCTGCCCTACGCGCCCCCACGCGTGGCGCATTTATTGGCAGTCGGATAATCTTCATAGTGGGCGCTTGAGTCGAGCGCGCCAATGATAGCTCCTCGAACTCCCCACGGGACCCATTATCACAAGACGGAAGTTATGAGGCACCACGCTAGACCGCCCTGGAGGGGTCGCGGTCAGACGTAGTGCCGAGGGCTACTGTTGGTGATATGGGCCCGGGGGTACGCACAGTAGAGGGAAGTAACCTTCCTATCTAGCCACGTGGCCGTGTGAACTGGCCTTTTGTAACGACCAGCCTTTCCCAGGCCGGGTCCACTTACATCTGGCAGCTTTCATAGGTCATAGACTGCCCTCACAGACCAACACATGTCTTTTCTGCACACTTTGTCCTCACTCGTGCGCACTCGGGAAGAATTTCCCAATCGGTCACCCATCCCTAAATTGCTCCAGGCCAAGCACGCTTAATCTTAGAGTTCTTTAGAGATCGGCTTCTGGAAAAGAAGTTGTAACTTGTTGATATGAGTATCCTATTAGGCCGAGATGTCATATCCTCACCCCCTTAAGAGAGATCGACGCCCCCGTCGATCAACCCCATGCTAGGAACGTCCCCTCTTGGCCATGTCCGTGTGTCCAGTGCCAACGCATGTGCCATGCTGGTCCACACCAGCTAGAGATGGCAACGGTGAATTCACCGTCGGGGGTCACACCCGCGTCCCCGTCACCACGGTGATAAAATTTCACCGTCCCCGCCCCCGTCAATCACGACGGGGCTATATTTTCACCAACCCCGATCACCGCGCGGTGAATTTTTCCCCGTGGTTACCCCGCTCCCGGCCACGCAACTACATCTCCCACGCCCACATCGACGCCTGCAGGCGCCGGGCAGCACAAAGCCGGCGGCTCCCGGTGGCGCGTCAACGGAGGGAGCAGGAGAGCGGCGGCGCGCGCGAGAGGAGGCGGCACGAGCGTCTGCAGAGGGCGGCGTAGGCGAGAGGAGGAGGCGGCGCCCGCGTCTGGAAGCGGCAGCGCGCGCGAGAGGAGGCGGCGGCGGCGGCGCGCGCATCTGCAGGGCGGCGCGGGCGAGAGGAGGAGGCGGCGCGCGCGAGAGGAGGCGGCGGCGGCGCGCGCGCGTCTGCAGGGCGGTGCGGGGGAGATCGCGAGAGAAGGCAGCGGCGCGCGCGAGTGGAGGAAGCGGCGCCCGCGCCGCGCGCCTGTGCGGGCGTGGCTGTGGTGGAGAGCTGGAGGAGAGGCTAGGGTTAGCTTTTTATATATACCTGTTAATTGGGCTTTAGTATTATGGGCCAAAATGTCTATAAAGTCTAAAATTAGTTCTCTATATAGAAAGGTCGGGTCACCGCGGGGGGCGAGGACGGTGAATGGTTCACCGTCCCCACCCCCGTTATCCCCGATGGTGATAACTATGGTACCATTTTATTCACCATGGTGGACAGATATTAACCATCTCCGTCACCTAATAGGTGAATTCACCACGGGGAAATGGTGAACGGGGCCCCATTGCCATCCCTAACACCAGCCATGCGCATCATGTCTGCGCAACTGCGACACACGCGCCCGTGAAACCTCGAGAGTAGGCTCTGATACCACTTAATTCCGATTCCATATGAATCAGTTATGAATTTTACAATATTAAACTGATTTTAGCCTTGAACATAAAAGGATTTACGATTTATGACGCAATATTTAATTATTTTCGAGAAGGAAAAGGGGATTTATGACGTCAGCATGACATCATCGCCAGAACAAGGCACTAGACCACACGGCCACAGGAGCTAGGAAGCTCGGCCGGACTATCCGAGAGCACCAACGCAGAGAGGACGATGAGAGGAACTCACTGGTGGTGACGGCGACGACAAACGATGACGGAAGACGACCGGCGACGAGCTCCGAAGGGCAACGAGGTACTGGTCGACGACGACAACGGCGTTCCGGCGATCTTTGGCAGAGGAAAACCAGCGGACGGGCTTCACCTTGGCGCTGCGATGCCGAAGAAGGCGACTACGACGTCCAGGAACCACGAAGTCGATGGCAAGGCTCTGCCGGAGGCGGAGTAGATCGGATTCACGTCGATGACGGGCTTCCAGCAGGTTACGGCTAAAAGGAACCGGTGCCCGGGCTTCTTCTCCTCTTTGCGAATCCAACGACGGCGACGGAGACTAAAGGAGACGACTATTTCCCCGTCCCCTCGGGGGGAGATCGGGTAGCACTGAGGTGGCCAGGGGGCCTTGGGGTGCCACGTCACACCCCTCGTGCCCTTGGCACGTACCGCCCTGAGGCCCTCACTCGGCCACCACGTGGCGGCCGAGAAAGCGGAGCAGGAGCAGGAGACCCTGCCCAGCGTCTTAATTGAGCGGCGTCCCAACCGCCCCACACCGCGTTTAATGCGGCATGGGCAGGCGCGTGGTGCCGCCCGATTGACGCATGTCAATCGGCCTTGACCGGCATGTGACCGGTCACAGACGGATGGGACGGGTGGCAGTGGCCCCACGTCCCGCCCTGTGTCAGGTGGAGTGGGGGCAGGTATGCCATCAGCACACTACCGAGTGTGCCGCCTGTATATGATGAATTCACCAAAGTCTTTATACAATTAATAGGGAATGACAGGGATGTCCCCCGTGTCAGGCGGAGGACGGCGTTGGGCCCCACCTAAAGGCGGACGACCACTTTGCTTCTGGTTGAAGGCACGGACAGTTATCTGACTTAGGCTATGTGGCCCCCCCTCCCATGGGGGGTAGGTATGAACAGTGCATGTGGTATCCCCTTGAACTATAAAAGGAGGACCTCACCCACCGAGAAAGGGGACGACTCTCGAAAGCTTGAGCTCTAAAGGAAGCACGGCTTGGATTCCCGAGGAGCTCAAGATCTCTTGTAACAACTCACCATAATCCCAAACACATGAGTAGGGTGTTACGCTTCATAGCAGCCCGAACCTGTATAATCACTGGTCTCTCACTCAGATTTGCAGCGACCTAGTAGTTCGCGCCTTATCCCCCAGCTGAACTCACAAAGGGGGGTCTCACGACCTCCCGCTAGAGAGGATCACTCCTCGACAAATAGCTAATACTTAATTAGTTACATGCTAATGGATCGTTCCGTTTTCCGTGTGGGGGGGGGGGAGTAGTTCCCATCCCTTGAAACCGAACACAAGAGCAAGTTTAAATAAAGCAAAAATTGTCTAAATTGGGCGCCCGATGCGGGCGCGCATGCATCGGGCGCCCGCGCCTCCCATGCTCCCGCCGCACCTCCCGCGCCTTCCACGCTTGCGCGCCATCCCCACCAAGCGCCCCACCACAGACGCCGTTGCAACAAATCACTCGCATATTACGGTAACGCTCTATTAAGGGTATCCGTTTCATTTTTTGTTCCACCAACAATGTTTAGCTAGTGTACTCGTGATGTGTCACTGTATAGATCAAATGTTGTAGTGAATTGAAACATCATTTTGCTATTTGCTGAAATATTGTTTTTATATAGAGTGAAACAACGTCTGATTTTTTGGAAACCGTTTGTTTCATACAATGTAGCAAAATGTTAAATGAGGTGATTTAGTTGTGTTTCAGATTTTTAAAAAGACTGAAACATTTTTGAACTATTTAGTGAAACATTTCCATCTACTTGGTAAAAGAACGCTCGATTTTTTTAGACCGGAAATGT